CCCCCCCCCCCCCAGTGACACAAAAATCATTGCGTTCCTCAGAAAAATATGATTTCTCTAATTTGTAATCAACTCCCCAGCTCCTGTGTCAATAATAAACAGTCCCTAATACATTACATTATGTTATATTTCTTTGCATTATTCTTCTGTGAAAAAGAATGTGTAGCATCGTGTATGTTTGCATGCAGTTATTAAATCGTCGTGGCAAAATTAGTCATAAAGAAGACTTACTACAAATAGTTACTTAAAGCAAACTGTATTTTGTAGCCTAAAATATTTTAAATATCCTGTGTTTCGACCAAACGCTGAAACGCATGAGCCGATTGTTGGTGCATGACCACTGTTTGAGAATGTACACAGCAAGGAGTGCAGGTGGGATGTGCAAATGAAGAAGTAAAAATGGGAGGTTTCTCTACAGGAAGGATTTCCTATGGTGTTGCTGCGTCATTGATTCGATGGCAGTATATATTTAAATTTTTGACAAGCGTATAACTGTTGGTATAGAATTGAAGGTATATATATAGATTATGTTAATATCTCAAATTTAGTGAATACATGCAGTAACATAATTTATACAAAGCTAACTATAGTATCGTTGGATATTTATTGGAACTTGTAGTAGAAGTACTTTCTTTCTATTTTCATGTCTATAGTTAGATCATATAGCATACTGTGTGTGTTTGTTGTTTTGGCCTGACATGACGCCGTTTCAAATTTGAAAAAACAAGAACAGCAAGTGCCTCACGAGAATGTCAGTGAAAACACGACTGTATTTACATGCTCTTGATATATTAGCTGACAGAATTTGAAGTAAACTTTTATAAACCCGTTTATTCTGAAACATTGCGATCTCAATATTTTTTATTTTGCATTCTATTATACCGAGTGGCACAAAAGGTTCTCCTGTTTGATTAGCATAACTTAAAAACCAAAGGAGCTATTACACTTAAACAAGGTGCATTGCATTCAATAATGTCTAACTTAAATTTTGTTATAGAGTAATAGCTCTGACTTTTAGTTTTTGAGTTATACTAAATCAAACATGCAGGAGAACTATTTTTGCGCCACCCTGTATACTGAGATTACCCTTTTGGATTCTAAGGATTATTTTAATTGGGCATTCTTACCTGCAATCGATGAGGATATAATACGTTTCCACCTTTCTGCTGCTTCTGCAAAGTGATAAACAAAAAATATGATTCGTACATGGTACGGTACATAATGCAATATATAAATCAAAATGCTCTTACGACAAACAAATCTATGATAACCTGTGGCTGGTACTTCTATATAGATCGATATATATATATATATATATATATATATATATATATATATATATATATATTTATATATATATATGTATGTATATATATAGCATATTGGTAGAACATTCCTATGATTGGGTAAAACTAATTAAGACTTATAAAGTGACACAATTTAAAATCCAATAATTTAATCTCGGGATGTCATTTTCCATACGAGGCAGAAAGAATAAAAAGCTTGTATCAAAAATAGGCGTAATCGTTTGTTTTTCGGTTTAATTTAAATAGTTTCTGTTTTAGTGATTGGATGCAAGTAAAATATTCTGATCAATTGTCTAAGTCGAGTTATATACATTTAAAAAACTCATTAATAATTCAGGAGCAAAACACAAAGAAAAATCATAAGCGTGTCATGGTTTTATATGTGATAAAAAATCACGTTAATTTACATAAACTTTAGCTTTGATTTTCTCGGTTTAGACAAAGTTTATTTTAAAAATTACTTCGCCAATGAACTCGTATAAGATGACTCGTCTTTTAAGCTATTTAAAGCACTTGTAGTCGTGTTTTATCACATATAAAACACTCCGCTACGCGTCGTGTTTTATATGACATAAATTACTGCTGACGCTGCATAATTTAGTTGTCCTGCTTTAAAAATTGACTTAATGTACAGTATAGGCGTACGAAACATGGCAATTCACGAGAGAGTGTCATATATAGATTTTGCGTCGTTTAAATCTGGATCGTAATTGTTGAAATGACATTATTGTGCTGGCATCGTGTGCAGTGCTTTAACAAATTTTACCACGAATAAGAGTTTCTTGCTCAACTAGATACACTTAATTGGATTATTAATTAGAATTATTATTTGGTATGATTAGTATTTTCATTCATTGCAATTTCATTTGACTATTTTAAAACGTCGACTTTTGATACTCAACAAATTAGTTACTAATTACTGCTGCATGCAAAGACATTTACAAACCTTTGATAATATCAAGCTTATTCACGAGTATGTCTTCAAGCTGTGGCAGTGTTGAGTTGTAAAGGTCTGGTAACGACATGTTGAGAGCTTCAGCAATGTAAAATGGTGGAATTGTATAATTTGTTGACAGCGCTAAAATATTTTTCTCCGTAATAAAATTAACAACCCTGATCCATCCTGGCTCCAAAAACGCATATACTTCATCTTTTGTGGTATTTAAATGTTCTGCTATTTCTTCAGTCTTAAAGTTAAATCTTTTCTCCAAAACTTTAAACATTGCTTCTTGAATAGTGTAAAAAAATACTTCGTCAGTTAAAGGCAAAGTGAAATTATTTGAAACATTCGCTAGTTCTTCTAATGACATGATGATTGTCCATTTGCTTGGCTGTAGAAATTTCTCGACAGTCAAACCATTGCCTATTGCCGCCAATCCAAGTACAACCAATGACTTCAAATGTTTGTTGATTTGAGGGAGAGGTTTATATTTAAGGTTTGTAACTATGTCACTAAATGTTACGTGTTCAAAAAAGGTTATATTTCTTTGAATTAAAACATCCGTAAAGCTGCCTCGCTGTATGGCTTCTTGTAGCAGTGGATTTATTGTTATTGGTAATTCCAACGTATTATTAGAAGCACTTCCACCGTAACTGGCAAATATTGCAAGGAAAATGAGAAGATATTTAATCATTGTCATTTATTAGTACATTTCATAACCTCCACATTCGCGTAGTTATGCCTATAATATAAGGAAAAAGTTTAGTAACGATAAATCAGCGCCATGACATGCAATTTGTGGACGATTTTGCACTGACTAAACGCCAAGGCCGCTGGAGTTTTTTAAATTTTTTAAATTTTAGATGAGGTATATATAGACGTATCAGTTGATCCCATTTTAAACGTTGTATTATAGAAGTATTGTGAATAGTGTTTTGGGCAACGTATATTTACGAGCATGCGCAGTACAAGAGAAACAAACACGTTTGTTTTTGAGAATCGAACCCAAGTTGACGTTTATAAAATTTTACCTATTTATTTGTATTATTGGTGAATAAATTTTTACTGTCCATATAGAATTTGTAAAAAAATGCGACCCTCAATTAACGTACCATTCATGAACGATGGTGGTGTTGGATAAAACTTTGAATAATGTCAAAACTGATCCAACATTATCATGACCATGCAATGTTGCCTTCAACACCCATCGATGTTTGATGACGTTGAGCCAACATGTTACACTGTGCCTGTGGTTTGAATGTGACTTTTAACTTAAATCTCTTTTCCTATATTAGCCTGCGCGCTGTCTGTACCTATAATATATGTATTAATATTTTCATGACTTGTATTATACAACATTAGGTTGCTGTGTTTCAAGAACTCGCTTTGAGAATTATTTAAAATTGCTTCCAATTCTTTTAAACCTTTAATCTTTATTACGACCTTATAGCTATGAAATGCTAGGCTATAGAGTAAATATCAAAGCATATATATTACGATATAGGTACAATACAAATCTATGTTTGGAAAATAGGGATTAAATTTTTATATTTTAGAACCGATGCGGCAGTTTATTCAATTGTGTTTGCTCCATCATTTTGATTATTTATGAAGTGGCATGGAATAAACTCAGTCTACTGCCAGTAATGACTAATGAATAAATTATAGAACCAAGGACAAGGGATTAGTGAAATATTACATTAATATCTTGAAGTTTTAGGAAATATATCTGCGGCTGAAGTCATGTACAGTATTTTACGAAAATGAATTACAAACAAACATCTCTTTACTCTTACATATAAGACTTTTGGTAATTATAAGGTGTAATTAGGGTATTAATTAATTATTAAGGTGTCTGGATACAACATTAAGAGTCAAAAACCTGGATATCTTCAGGATCCCGCCAACTTCTCTGCTCGAAATATATTTCTGTTTAATAAGGGTGATTATAATAGGGATATGTGTCCTCTGAAGAGTGCTATCGACTTCACTTTCTAGGGAGATGCCCGGTAATAGATGTTCGACTGTCTCATTGTCAGATTTATCACACTCATACCTGATCAATAATACTTTTACTTTTTCATGGATATCATCTCTAGCTTGATTAATAGCAGTACTATAACATTTATATTCTTGCACCAATTTTCACCAGCTACATTCTACACTTGGTCTTAGCCTTTGGTTCTTCAGAAATCGTTTTTACCGGAGGAAATGCTTTATTAAAAGCTTCCAACGCAGAGCAATTTTATTATAGCCAAGCAACTGTAGGGTACGTCACAGAGGGCTATCTTGATAATTATCTTTTGAATTACTCCGGATTCCCAGCAGTTAGGATATCAATCAAGCTTGACTATGTTTTGTGAGGACACAATAGAACAGTTGTGGTATGCTAATTTCTCCGTGAGAACAAACTTTCAATTAAGATAAAAATGTCTTTTGCAACTGAGAATTTTTTCGAAAGTATACTAACCTTAAATAGTTTTTATAGTAACCATTTATATTTACAACACATGCCAAACGGTATTCAGTCGTGTTTCTAGACAAATGAGGACAAAACCATTTCGTTATGTTGTACTTTGTCTTTGACATAAACTGCCCAAAACTTAATTGCAACATTCACAACATTCCAATGTATAATAAAGGCCAAGCGTTCATGCTATTTTTGCTGGATTTTACGTCCATCGACTAAACTTGAGATTATATATGCTATAATATAGTCTAAACTTTAACCCGCCACTATAAACATCGCAATTAGAGGTATGAAATAATATGAGCTAATTGATCGATACCCAAACATGCTAGGTAGGAATGTATTTCAACATCGCCGCTGTACCTCATGCCAAGTATTAACCTGGATCAAACGAGAATGAGAGTGCATGAGAGTTGGCAGCCGTCGCTAAAGGGGTGGGGGTGTTGAAGGTGTTACACCCCCTGCTTAAACCTCTTCGCGACGCCTGTGAGTTGCGCGACCTTGGTAAGCTGTTCTTAATGCTTTCCCAATATTTAAGTATAGTTGGAACACTCTTGTCCATGTCCCCCGTAATAATGCGTGACTGCCAACTCTCATCAATTCTTAACCTCGTTTGACCGATATGTTGTTTTCAGCGGCATTATACGTTCGATCACGCTGGTCATATTCAGCAAATTTTCTCTCTATGATTTTCTCCCAGTACCGCAGGCTCGCATTTTCCAGCGGACTTGTGGTGAAAAATTGAAAGTTTGCATTTTGCACAGAACTGGCCATTTTGTGTAAGATGTCCGCTGATAATACGAGCCCGCACGAGTGGGAGTAATTTCGCTAAATTTGACCAATCGTTTCGTGATTGAGACGTACAGTCATGCCGATAGGAGCGTAAGGATAAACAAAGTCAGGGAAGTAATATATCAAATCTGTGTTTGAATATTTAGACCATAGGCTTAGTTAAAAATTATTTTAATAACTACGTTTCGGAATTCGGAGTATAACTCCATCTTCAGGTTAAAGGTGACTAAAGATATAAAAACTTTCAAAACAATTATATAATATTGTTTTGACGATAAACTTTATATATTTTGTATCTTATAAGCAGGATGAGATAACACCTTGAAATAGTGGACTTTAGTAAATCATTTGGTCTTTGCTCTAAAAGCACATCGTCATTTGCTAATTCGCTCCACCTCCGAGATTGCTCGATATTTGGACAAATTGTGTGCCAAACCTAGCTGGAGCTACTTCTTAAAATCTGCCATTTGAAATTTGTTGTTTTGGAGCTACATTTTGTATATAGAAGCTCAATTTTATCTTTCGTGATCTATTCCTACAGTCATGTGATGGAAAGCATGACCTGGTGGCCAATTGCATGAAGAGTTATTACCTGTTTATTTGTTGCCAAATCTTTAATTATGTGAAAGCTTATAGTTAGCAGATACTGTAAGCATACTGCTCTTTTGTCATTACTAAGGGTGGTTGACTACCCTACACCAACATAAAGTGCGCTTTTAAAGCTTATGTAAGAGAAGTTGTGGTCGGTTTTTTGCTGTGTTTTGAGGTTTCCTCCATGTTTTATAGCAGCAAGAGGCACGCCTCCAATAGAATCACAATATTTAAGCTGTATCCTTCGATGCATCAGCACACAGCTTTGACAAAGTTTACCTTTTCTTTAAATAACCTATACTGATAATTACTTTTTGTATTCTATTTTTGGTTCATTAGGTAGGAGTGTAAGGAATGTAATGTAAGGGTCAAAGCTAAAGTTTAGCAAAGGCATGTCCACAAAAGTTTCTCAAATATTTGAGCACAGTCTCTTGCCTTCTTACTTACTTACTTAAGTGGTAACACAAATTAGGCCGGCGTGTTGTAGCTTACTGGCTTACCTTACGTGCGAGCTTTACTATTTTGTTGACCATAAGCATTTTTTTTTGTCCTTTGAAAGGTAGTTTGCATGAAATTACTTTCATGCATAAAAATTAGGGTTCAATTTCAAGTGGCATGCAATTAATATTCTAAAGCTTCATTCAAACGAGTCCAACACTCTCCAACATTGTTTGAACAGGCTTTAAAGATTGCCACCATTACCATTCACACATTCATGCAAATAATGTCCTTTTTTATATTCATTGAATATAACATATTTTCTCAGTTCGCGACCCTGCAACACACGAGGGCCTACATGATCATATTTTACCCCACACTTTTTTTATCTAACAACTATAGGGACTGTTGTTGCATAAAGTTATTGCTGTGACACCAATTACCTATATCTAAACTTAAAAATATTACTGAAGCGCGACCACCGCACGCAAAAAGGGCATAGCACAAAGTTACACAGGACTGGACTGATTTTTATTTTTTTGCTATATCGTTTGGCACCTCTTTGATTCTCGGTTACCTCCGCCAGTTTTTAAAAGTTAACAAAACTACCAATGAAAGGAAATTTTAAAAGATATGTAGACCAAATAACTCAAAATCTTACAACGCTTCTAAATATTTGAAAAACTTAAACCAGGATCAAAGTTATCGGTCAGTGAAAATCGAAAAATCGCGCTTCGCTGTGTCGAATTACTTGCTTTCTTCCCTCCACCTTTGGGCATGTCCATCGTCAGATTGGGCATCACAGAACTGGCATTAAATACGTTGAGAACCTCTTCCAGCTCATTATTCTCCCCGACTGCAATATAACATGACTGCAAAGATGAACACAAGAATATCGAAGGCATGAATTGAGATCATCGGCGGTGCAAAATGTTGTAGTAAAAATCAGTCCAGTCCAACTATCCAGTCCATGTTCTGTACTATGCCCGCAAAAAGGTTGGTAGCAATAGTTATTTTTGACATCTAGGCGCGGTCACTAATTCAATATAAAAAACGTCAACAAACCGCCAAATTCGACTCTTCTTATAATTATACGCGATAAAATTAAAACTGTCGAATTTGACGGGCTTTGTTCAATTGTTGATGAATTGATATTGAATTAGTGATCGCGCCTGAATGTCAAAAACAACTCTTGCTATCAACCTTTTTGCGTCAGGTTAGTCGCGTATCACGTATAAATCTGCTGGAGCTGCTCACGTAAAATCACAAACGTTTTATACTAACCTTGAAAATTTCATATGCATTCAGGCAGAAGGCTACGTGTCAGGTTGCGTGACCCGCTTGGTCATGCGAAACGAAGTTTAGCATGACTATAGCGTCCAAAACAACCGCACTGGGCACGGGCAAAACTTCTTAAACCAATCAGAAACGAAGAACCGTAACATGCCATTCTAAAAGAAGCATGACCGGATGAAGCTCTAACCCACCCACGCGATCAATATGCTCCCGCAACCGATCATGTTTCCGCATTAACGAGGAAGATCGGCTCGGTTGCCCAGACAACAAGCCTTAATCAACAGTATAAGAATATCCAGTTATATCACCGACGTCATTTTTGTAATAAGTAAATAACGCATCAAAGGACAACTGATTTCACGCTAACGAACAAATGATACTGTAAAATGGAAACAAACGAAGTAAGATAACAAGAAATGTTATACTATTTTGAGCTCAACTATAAAGTGATTTAATGATTTTTTAATGATTAGCATGACCGGTAGCGTCGCCACTGTGTCGCATACCCGAAAACGAGGGTCTATATAGCCAAAATGACGTACCTTTTTCAGTTGTCGAGCTCTAACCACAAGTTCTTGTATATATATATATAGTTGGTGATGCCAATATAAGGTATGGGTAAATATCAAACTTTTGATCGACAACTGGACCCTGTAGCTTAGTTCAGTATTTAGGTTTTTCGCAGTTGCTCCTGGTCAGGTCTGAAAATTGTATATATTCTTCCGCTCGAAATTTCCATCTACAAAACTCTTCAACTGTTAGTTTTATTGAGCGAGATGCCCAAAAATCACGATAATAAACTTTTAATTAAATATAATACTGAAGCAACGTGAAGTGCAAAAGTGTTTATTCCCGTTTGCGTTCAATCTGCTATTCTTGGCTGTGACACCATGATCGTATTCTACAAATGTATTACGCCTTGTAAGCTCGACCTGCATATAAGTTATCAATTTTAATTAACTGATTGTACTTTACCCTAACCTTCACTTCGTTCAAAAAATCGAAAAACCTTACTTCATGTCCAAAATCCCTCAAAGTCATAAAATATCCCTATAAAATACAACTAGAAATACATATAATATGTTAATATTGGAATATGCTATGGAATACAGTAAACATGCACGTCTGCCAAAAGTTTTGGCAACCGATTTGTAAGTGGACATTATAATTTTCCAATGTTTCATGTGACTATAATTTGCCTAAATTTTAGGTACACATGCGTTTTGATATGGAAACTTGCCTAAATTTTAGGCATCCATAATTTGCGTATTAAATTTTACTATAGCTTGCCTAAATTTTCAGCAAGAAGTTAGCTACAGGAACCTAAATTTTACAACGATGCTTAAGTTTTAGGCATCAACCAGTAGTGCATGAATGTAATTTGCCTAACATTTAGGCTAAAGTAGGCGAACGTATATTTTGAAATCGTGCCTAATTTTTAGGCATGCATGAATGAGCGGATTTTAGACTATACCAACTTGCCTAAATTTTAGGCAAGTTTGTAAACTTATCAACTGTGAAATCGTGCCTAAATTTTAGGCACAATTTTGCTAAAATATTAGCCATCGTTTAAATGTTACAAGAAAACTTTCAAGAATGTTTAAGAGGCAATTTTT